GGGAAGGGGGAGGATTGGGGGAAGGGGCAGCAAGAGGTGAAAGAGCAGAAAGAGGGAGGAGAGAACATTAGACATTGGTCAATTCAGCTTACAAAAGTGACAGAATTGCACAAAAGGTCAGAGAGGGGTTATCAGTTATTTCTCCAAATCGTTCTCCAAGGTATCCTCCCAAACTGTGACCTCTTTTCACTGAAGTGCTTGCTGGACTTGATATAACTATAAAAGGGAAACTGTGCAACTAGTGGAGTGAACAAAGCAGTTCATCTGAAGTTCCCAAATCTGTGCTCATTTTGTTTCTATGCCAATTTAAGTCTACAGATACAAAAAAAAACAGCATGTCGTCCAACAGAAAGCATGCTTGAATGTTGAAAGCAAACGTATTACCATAAGCATGACAGGCAGAAAGGTTAAATAATGTAGAACATTGCATACACAGTGAAAACATTTGCATTTAAGAAAGGCTCAAATATACTGTATTGCGAAATACCCTTAGGTCGTGTCTCTTAGCATTTATGCATTTATTTATCGTGGATGTAAAAGGACAGACTGATGATTACAATTTGCTTTCTGGGTATTTACTGTAAAATGTAATGAATTCTCTCACTTACCCTTTGGTTAAAAAGTTTCCTGCTCTGTGCTCAGCTCTGCCTTGCTGCAACTCCTTGAAGAAAAACAAGTCTGTTCCTCCCCTGCTCCCCCCTTTTATACTCTGCCTGTTGTTTTTCTATCTGGGTGGAGGACAAAGTTCATTCCTAGCTCTATGCTGATGCCTACACTTTTCTCAAGTTTAAAAAGTCACAGTGCGTGAATTCCCCTTGTTGACAGGATACAAAGATATCGTTTTAATGGAAAATGTTTCATAGCAACTGTCAGTTTGATTAATTCCTTCTGATGAACAGTTTAAGAAGAAAAAATTGTCTCTTTATTATGCCAGCCCTGGAAATAATGCATGCATTTGCCTTATAAATCATCAGGGACGCTTTTTACATTGTTTAAAGTATATAACAGAGGTGTAATGAGTCTCCAAGAACATGGAAGAAGATTGTGCAATTCTGTTTTTGACTGTCAGTGCAAAGAGGGGAAGTGAAAAAGGACAGAGCGCGGGACTCTCTGGCTAGTGTCCAGCATGTTTCTGCAAAGCCAAACACAGCTAGGACTCTAATACAATATTCACAAGTGGCATAATTAAAGGATTCCAGAGAAAGTATCCTCCAGTTTAATACACAAACAGACAGTAAAAGTAGGAAAACTGTATAATACTGAACATGGAAGATCATAAGTGATATTCTTATAGTTCATTGGAAATATGTCATTAATTAGAAGAGAGGAACTTAGCCCTGCCCACCCAAGAAACAGCAGGGGGGAATGATTGATGATATACTGGGGCAAAGAACAAGAAAAGACAGAAGCTTAAAAAAAAAACCTTTTCTAATCCATCAACTCCTGAAGATAAGCTTCAGGCGCTTAACCAATGTAGACAAATGTAGACAATTGTAATTCTTGTTAAGACTTGTCATTACATAATTTTCTTTGAACAGCCGGTAATTGGTGTCACACCAACAGTTCAGTTTATGTAAAGCATATAAAAAGCTGTAAAAAGCCTCAAAGTCCAGTCGGGTAGGTATGTTTGTCTGTCTACAGATAGACCATGCAGTTTGGGGCGGTGAGAGCACTGTTGTAACTTTTATATGGTCAAAGACCGGTTTTAACTAGGCCAGCAAATGTTAGTGACATTGTAGTTTAACAAAGAATAAAATACATTCAAACACACAGTTAAAAATGTGAATATAAGGTATTATCTAAAACTATGGTAAGCAGAACAGGGGATGGAAGCAAATATTTAATACCTGCACAATGTTAGACAATCTAATATAATAGCAATGAAGGAAGTATATTTGCAGCTTGTTGGTATAACTGTGTTAAAGAGGAGTTTGTTTTTATCCATGTTGATTTTTAGTCTGTATTTTGCAATGTTGTTGGGTTGGATTTGCCAGTGTCTAAGATATTCCTGCACTGTATCCACCCCCTTTATATCTCTACAAAAGTCACCACTGTAAATTCTCACAATTAAATATCTGAGATAGTAGTAAAGGCAAATGGAACAGTTTATTTACGACTACTTGTCCTGATTTCAGGAGTTCTACCAGGAACACTTGAGCCGCACACTGAGCAAATTAGGTTGACTTGGTGCTACGGTATGTTTCCCACTCGGAAATGCACCTTGCTGCCAGAATGCGAAGACACACACAAACAGAGCAGAACAAAATGTTTACAAAAAGACATAAAGGCTGTGGTGTAGCAGTTACAGCAGAAAATATGCATCAGTGTACAGAGTGTATAAACACCACCTGATCAGCGCAGTGAGATGTGACTGTGGTGTACAGGTCAGCTGATACAGAGTATGATCTGTATCAGAGCAAGAGCATCATAGCAGCACCTATTACCCAGTGTTACTCATTGACAGCGTATGGCACTATGCTCTTTTTCAGGGCACACTGACCTGCATAAGAATGTATATCAGGAGATCTGAATTGATAATATTAATCCACTCTAAATTATACCAGATAACTAACACTAAAAGTTTAGCACTATATTGTGGAAACCTTAATAAGCATAAAACATTCTCAGGAACGAGACAGTCTTCTCAGTTTGGTGCAACTGACACGAATCATAATCATGCAGCGTAATGTATGCCTCACACTTAACTGGCGGTTCTTAACTGCTTTTCTTATTATTTCTTACTGTGTCTCACCCCTACCTATATGGTAACAACACACACCATTCTGCCTGTTTTTGAAATGTTTTTTCACTCCTTTGTTAGTGAGAACATTGTGCTGCCCTGCACTTTGATTGATTGTTGCGTCACCATTTGTACTTTGCACCCCCCTTTATTCTACATGTATATTTTTTTCAACTTTGAATTTATTTTACTATGACTGTATATTTTATTTGACCATGTATGTATATACGTAATATACTTTCTCTGTATAGTATATATATGCATGCTATAGGCACAGATATTTCTTTCAGGATGTTCTATCTTACCTCTTTCAGACTTCAACCTTATGATAAGTGATGCATGCTGAGACGCAGATGCATTTGTTTTTTCTAAACATTCACATTTTTTATGTCTGAATGCTGACCCTGGCTTTCACATATTTTTGATTCCGATTTTTGATTTACAAGATGATTGTGCCTCTTCTTAATTTTTGGGTCTCAGTAAATCATTTTATAAGGAGTACATTCTAGACCT